CTTTTATTTATTGTATTCTCCTTGCTGTAAGATCAAATCACTTTTATATTCTCATAGCACTCAATGTTTTCCTTTGCAGAAACTGCCACAATTTTAGTAACTAATTACAAGATAATTTTTTCCCTTTTATATATAGAAAATCATTTTATATACCTTTATATAGCTTGCTCCTTCTCTCCAGCTCCATTTTCCTTTTTACACTAGCACATCGTTTAGTACTTCTTTCTGAAAGAATCTTAGATAATGTATCCTTAGTGTTCCTTTATCTGAAAATATTTGTACATCTGAAAATATCTTGTCTTCATTCTTGAATCACAGTTGACAGAATTCTTTTGAACATTCGCCTTGCACATTGAAGATATGATTCCATTTTCTTCTAACATCTGTTGTTGAGGAAAAGTCAGCCAGCCTGCAGCAGTTTCTGCCTTTAGTCCTTGGTAGCTTTTATGATGATCTTCCTGATCGCTGATGTTCTGGGTTTCATGCAGACCTTGCTAGGTGTGAACTTGTTTTTATTTATTACACACTGGTTGAGCCTTATTCAGTTTGAGGACTCATGTAAATTGAGCTTTATTAAATTTGAGGACTCATGTAAATTGAGATTTATTCAATTTTGTTAAATGTCAGTCATTTATATAAAATAATGTCTCTCCCTCAGGCTCTCCACTCTTTTTAGGCATATGTTTGAGCTTTTTATTCTATCCTCTCCATCTTTCAGCATTTTCAGCAAAGCAAAATTTTCCTCATCATCTTTCAAGTAATATATTCTTTTTTATTCTATAATGAATCCACCATTAAAAAGTTGTTTGAGTTATTATTTCAATAATTATGTTAATTTCTAGACTCTATTTTATCAAAGTTTCCTATTCACTCTTCAAAATGGCCTGTTCCTATTGTAAGAATTCCATTCCATCCTTATTTTCTAAACCTTTTTGAACATTAAAAAACACAATTTCATGTCCTTTACTGACTATCTTCTTATCTCTCATTTCCTCAGGTGTGCATACTCCTTTTATTTTTTGGTGTGTTAACAGCACTCACAAAAGGAATCTTTTTATATCCATTGTAATTTTAGTCTGTGAGCTTATTTTGCTCAGGAGTTTCACATAAGCTCTGGATTGTTATATATCCTCACTGTGCAATTTTGTGGTTGTATTTTCTTGGGATTTCTGAGGTTAACTGTCTAATGCTAAAATTAAGCTTAATAAAATTATGCATAGTTTTCTATTAAGAAATTTTCAAAGCCTTTGTTTCTTCCTCTTTTTCTTTGCCTTGCTATAGAAAATAATTTAGATAATGCTCTATTGTCAAGTTTATGGAGAATTATGCCTTCATTGGTAGAATCACCAGCTTTGTATGAAATTTCCTGCAAATATTTTGTGACTCTAAGCAAAACTACCTGGCCAAAGATTACGGAGCCTAATTTGCAATTTACATCGAACAAAATAGATCCATCTGTTGTTAATAACATTTTATTTTTTTATAAATTTATTCAATCAATTTATTTTTGGGTGCGTTGGGTCTTTGTTGCTGCGAGGGGGCTTTCTCTAGTTGTGGTGAGCAGGGGCTACTCTTCATTACGGTGCATGGGGCTTCTCATTGCTGTGGCTTCTCCTGTTGCGGAGCACGGGCTCCAGGCGCATGGGCTTCAGCAGTTGTGGCTCACGGGCTCTAGAGCGCAGGCTCAGTAGTTGTGGCACACGGGCTTAGTTGCTCCGCGGCATGTGGGGTCCTCCTGGACCAGGGCTCTAACCCATGTCCCCTGCATTGGCAGGTGGATTCTCAACCACTGCGCCACCAGGGAAGCCCCAATAACATTTTGAATCTATGGTACCCACTGAGCCTAATTCTCTTAATGACCTACAAAGATATTTTAAATTTTTAAAATAATGTGTCTCCTTTCCAATGTTAACTTATATATAGGAAGAGGAAGAAAACAATTGATTCACTTAACCTCTATAATGTAGCGGGTATTTTACATATATTTCATTAACACAAACATCCTCATCCCCATGGTAGAGATGGAGGAAACCAGGCTGGGAGAGACTGGTGATCACACAACCAGCAGATGGAATCAATGGGATTCACAATCAGGGCTGTTCATCCCAGGGAGTCGTCTATTTTACTAGACCACACTGCTGTTGTAAAACATCCTACGGAAAACATTCCTTATGTTCAGTTTACAGTCGTTGTTTGGTCTTCACTGAACAGCCAGGTCTCTAAGCCAAAAGGAACTACATTAGAAATGTCTTGTATTCCTAATTAGGGTGGGGGCTTCAACATGCTCAATACCTGGAGAAAATCTTACCTGCTTTCTCCCAGTCTGTTTTCCCTTCTTTCTGGTCTCCAGGATTGTCCTGAGGACAATGATTTGCAGATATTCTCTTCTCTGGTTTGGTCTGCACTCCTACCTGGCCTGGCACTGCTTCATGGCTCCCTGAGACAAAGTTCTATGGCTTTTCTGAGCTTCACTATTGCCATATATAACTCTGACCTGGACATAGTCCCTGAAGTACACTAATTTTACACTGCTTAGCCCATTTCTGAGTCTTTATCTCTAAAGTAAAGACAATTGATTTCTCATTTTAAACTCAGTTCTCAAATGTTAAGCACTTCATAGTACTGTCTACCATCTTGAATTACTACTAAGATATGAAAGATCAACTGAAAAATCCCTGAGTCCAAAGAAAGTCTAGAGTTTATATACAGAGAGAAGAAAAAGGGACATTTGAGAAGAAGAAAGATGAAAGAAATAGAGAAGGGCAATGGAAGAGGAGGAAAGGAATTGTGAAGCTATGACTACCTGTGCTACATCAGAGCCATTGTAGGATTACCCCAAACATAACTTTTAGTTAAGCTGTTTGCTTACGGCTATCTCAAATATCCTCACCTTAGATTAATTGGGAAAGGTGACTCTAACCAGTGGACATGTGAAATCAGTTTTTTAATATGTATTAGTAATCAGTGGAATATAAAGATACATCTTAGATTTATCTGTCTATCCATCTGTCTATCTGTATCATCGTTCAGTTCTAATAAAAATCCAAAGCTAAATATAATTATAATATTAAATGGATTATTCTTCATGCATATTGTTATTGCTTCTATTATCATGGAAAATTAAAAGTTAACATAAAAATATTTTCCCCAAGCAAGGCACCTTCTGAATTTTGGATCCTTCAGATATAAAATCAAGAAGAAATGTTTTATGAAGAAAATATATTATAGTATCTTACTATAATTTATTTTAAAAATTCCATACTGGTTCACTTATCCTTACTTTATTTCACCAATCATTATTACATTTTACAAATATTTGTTAGAGCCTATTATGTGCAAGGATACAATGGCATTTTAAGTGAGTCGTTTATGGAGATTTTTGATCCTGTGTCTATTTAACTATAAAGTGTTAATAACTTACCTTGACTAAGTTGTAAAAAAAAATTAATCCTGGGTGTGTCAAGATATGGGGGAAATTGGAATGGAGAAAATAGTGAGTAGTGAGATAATTCAAAGTGGAGGACTTAAATGATATATTAAATCGAGGCAAAAATATTTTACTTAAATTTTCTTTATGGTTGCCTTGATCTTTCAATTCATTTTGCATCCACAGACACAGGCTTTCTGTTAGTGTAAGCTTGAGTGATTTATGACATATTATGCTCATAATATCTACTATGAAGGATAATAGGCTGAAACGTGCAATGAGCTAGAATTGGACTTTAAATGTAATATAGTTTCAACATACCTTACATTACTACTTCCAATTTCTCAGAATATTCAGCTACTATTAAATCTTAAGGTACTGGATTCCTTAGAAAACAGTGTTTTCATGGATTTTTCTAACACGTTAAAAGAAGTAACAATATGCAGTATTTTTTTCCCTTGGTTAATAAGCAACATTAACAAAATTATATGCTTATAAAATAAAGTTATATTAATTAAGACATATTCAAACATTTACCCCGTATTAAATGGAATCAACAACATCACAGAAGAAATTCCCAAGAAAGTCTCACCTATGGGTCGAAACGAATGCAACTGTCATTAACATAGGTCAAAAAGGGTTGAATATCTGTTGGTTTCATGTAAGTCGACCTAACATAATTACAAAGCCTCATTTTACAGACTTTCAGACCCTGGTTTTGTGAGGAGCACTGTCTTTGCATAATGACAGAGTGGTGACCATTCTGCTTCACTTTACAATATCTCAGAATAGGAACAAAAATGTACCTGTTAGAAAATCCCTATGTTTTATTCCCTACTACAGATAAAGAGCTAAAAAGACCAAGCTTACGATTATGGATTGTATTTTCAAAGAGAGAATCACAAAATTTCCATCCAGTTGTTTGAAACAAAGAAGAGCAGTTGTTTCTTTTCCTTTTGGCTTATAATAGTTCAGTAGTAACAATATTTGATATTTTTCAACCTGCTATCAATTATTAACAATCTTACTAGGCATACAATCCTTCTACTAAGCCTTTTAACCCACTGAGCAGCTAAGCGAGGTATGAGGACTAAGCTATTATTCTATAAGTCAATGAGATAAGAAGGCCTTGTGCAAGTTGGTATAAGAAGTTGTTTCACGAAAGATTTATTATTTACCATGTATACATTAAGAAAGTAAAATTAGCATGGGATGGTCTCAGGAAAGCAATACATATTTTTGGATTAGACGCTGAAATAAAGTAAATGTATGATAAATTGACAAATTCACATTTCCAGTGTTATGAAAAAATGAAGTGGCAAAAGAAATTAAGATGTATTTTTCATTTTTGATAAGGGGGCTGTTTCCTATGATCTGTTAAGGGATTATGCTTTTAATCTGAAAAATTAACCACTAGTGTTACAGAAGCCCAAAGTGAAGGGGAACTACTCACTTTCAGATTGCATATTAGCACTTTGAAATTGCACCCAGATTTTTTTCTATTGGTTAGTAGGCCTCTGTTATTAGAGTAGTAGTTGCAAACACATATGTAGGTTTGCCAGTAACAACTCACAATTTGTGCAAAGTTGAGTCTTCGAAACTGAGCAAATTTGCTCTCAATTTCCCGCCAGCGCTTGCTGAGCTGGATCTGAGTTGGCTCCACTGCCATTGCTGCCCCATCCTCAGACAAGCCCTCAGCTTGCCTACGCACTGCATTCAGCTCCTCTTTCTTCTTCTGCAATTCACGATCAATTTCCTATTGAGCAAAACCAATACAGGGCCCAGGGCAGTTAGCTAACCACATTAACCAACCTATAAGCAGCACATAACTGTCCCAGAAATTTCATAGGCTGTTGTCATTTTATTGTCACTTTTCATAATTTATAAGTATGGAAGCCATCACTGTCATCTTCACCCAAGAATCCAAATAGTATTTCAGTTATCTTTTGAATGCTCAGTTTTAGATATTCTAATTGAGAAAATACTGAAATTGATCTAACAGTTTTCTTTCTTCTCAATTCCGCTAGTGTTTTGGGGCTGACCCAAATTGCAGTGATTATTCATCATTTCTTAGGGACCATCCATACAGAATATAATTTAGAGGGTAAGTGAATAAGTAATTTATTTCCTTTTTAGAGTTTTGAGGAACTCAACAGAGAATGAAGCAAAATAAAGAGTGTAAAATAATAACAGAAAAAACATCTTCAGACAATATGCAACACATAAATCTATAAAGATTTGACACTGATGTGTGAAGATGCTCTGATGAAATGAATGTGCTAACATGAGATAGAAGTCGTCCATATACCGATAAGTCATTTGTTCATCTGGAACAAAGATACACAGAGTCAATTACAATTTTACCAGAAAACATATGACATTTCTTAATTCATTTTACATTGTCTAAGAATAAAACATTTTATTCATTCAACATTATGTCAATTGAAAAACACTTATACATTTACTAAAACAAACAAAAAAAATACAAAGAAACGCATCAAATCGGGGAGAACACTAATAGAGGAAACAACATCAACACTTCAAAAATGATCCATACAGGTTAAGTTAAATAAATTAAACTGTAGCAACAAAATCTGGGATTGACATTCTAAAACAACATTACCTTTATTTTCCTTTCATCTCTGGGTTCAGGTAGGCTGGCTAATTTTTTTTCAAGGTCATCCAAGCATTTCAGGAGATCATCAGCCTGCCTCTTGTACTGATACCACTGGTGAGAAATTTCTAGAGCCTTTTTTCTTCTTTGAGACCTCAAATCCTGTTCATGGTGCAGACATTATTAAAATATCAATATACAAGTATATTACACTTCTGGATGTAGTCATTTAAAAATAATTAGGGTCCCTCATCTTCTTGTTCAGTTTCAATTAAATTCACATTTAAATGCTAAACATACAAATAGATGATTAAATTGTGTATTCATGTGACAGGACCCATGTACATGAAGCTAAGAAACCTGAACAACCCACTTCAAGTATTTTCTCTTAGCATGTTCAAACTTGTTTAGAAATTTTTTCACATTTAATTAACTCTTAATGAGTCAACTAAATTATTGTGTTGAGTATGTGAAATAATTTAATATGTGAATTCAACTGAGTTAACTACATACTTGTACAAACTTATTGAGTTTGTATTTGAATTTTAAAATAGGTAAAAATTCCAAAATTGATACCTTCAGCCCTAGGTTCAAAATTTTAAGTTTACATAGCCAAGCAACTTACACTCACGATCTTAAAACTCTCTATAAAATAGTTTCATAGGCCATTAATATTTTGTGATTAGAAATATAAAGTGTTCTTAGTTAGCATATAAATTGCTTCAAGCTATATATATTCAAGTGTGAAAAATGTGTACCTGTGAGTGTACATGAAAATTACAATTTAAATGTTATGGCAAACTTTCTCATCATATCAAATCCAAATGCAAAATGATAAAAAATATTTAGAAAAGAAAAGGGAAAGTGCATGGTTTCCAATCAACCTAATGAGATAAATAAGGGTGACTGCTTACTAAATCAACAAAGGGGGGGAAGTTTATCATCCTACTCCTTACAAGACCACCCAATGTCTTCCCTGATTAATAGAATTTGTTGTAATGCTATTTTACGATAACACAAGGGAACATAAGAGCTCAGGATACAGCTTTCATTTCTTCAGAGCAGTTGCAATTAGGGTTTCATGTACAGATACAGCTGGAGCCAAAGAAAATAATGAATATCAAAGGACTGCTGAAATATTCATTGCATTGGAAAGTTTTTACCTTCTTTGAAATATTTCATAAGGACTAGAATTGAAGCTACTTGGCAGATTAACAATTGAATTTGGTAGACTCGTTTGGCAAGTGGAATAGATTTTCATTAATCACGTTTAACATATATTTGCAAAAATGATCTCGATTTCATTCTGCATTTTGTTTAAAATTGAGGATGTAAAATTTACTACAGTTTACAATTTTAGTTGAATTTCTAAAGCTCCTGTGGAGGTATTAAATGCCTAGGATGAGCCAGAGGGAATGCTGCTTTTTTCAAAGGTACCAAGATACAGCCACGTGAATGAGAGTTGAGCCATGCCTTACTGGTGACACAACTCACATCTTTGCCAAGAGAAAGGCCTTGAGGTCATAAAATCTGAAACTCTTTTTATTTCCTAAGCACAAGGTGATGTGTAATGTGTAAAGGTATCAAGAGACATTATAGAGATTTCTTTACAGGTATGCCAGATAACCATTAAACACTGCTGTTCAGTAGGACACATATCATATGACCAGTGTAGATGCTTCTAAAAAGCTTGGTCACAGTTGGAAGCGTGTGAATTACACAGCTTTCTGATTTTCTGAGCACATTATGGCTTACTCTTGCACTCCCTCAGGGAAGAGGCCTTTTCTAGTTACTATATTTATCAGCAGTTACCTTTAGAAAATCTGCTGGCCAATTAGACTTTCCTTGTGGATTCCCTGCAGGCACAATATTGTGTAATTACATTCTCAGCAGTGTTTATTTGCTTGTCTGACTATATGGGAAAAGGTTTTATACTCTTATTTGCATATAGAAAGCAGACTCTATCCACCTACAAGGTGGATCCACCTACATGGCTACATAGCTCTAAAAGAGTGATTTACAATGAAAAGCTCAGCAATTAACAGTATTAGAAAAATCAGCCATGCATGCAAATAGTGAATATTGAAAAGTACATTAAAAACATAAAAGGTTATTTCACAAAATTCTTCACATGTCCAGTCTCTTCTCAAGAACTTTCTAGATACTATTTCTAGATACTAGATAATATTCTATTTTGTCCTTCCTGCACAAATCCAGATGAGTCACATGGGTACTTGAAGCTATACGCTATCACTGGCTAACATGAGAGTACCAGCTCTTCTTCAAGGACATTAAGATTATTTTAGAGGACTCCTATATAAATGAAATTAGGCTTATAAATGCTTAGTTAGTTGCAAAGAGTGACTCTCTTAAAGGCAACATGAAGTTAACTGAAAAAAATTATTAAACAAATACTAGGTTACCAAAAAAGTGGACCTACTCTAAATCAAATCAATAAAATATCACAAGCAGAAAGCCTAAAAAATATACAGGTTGTTTATTCTGGCAGTTAAGTAGGATTTTCAAGACAAATGTAAAAATAACTTACAAAAATAAATTATACTACAAAATTAAATATATGAACACTATGAATGATGCATGTTAATATCTTTCTATTACTACTCAGAAAAATTTGTCTAAGTAAAAAAAAAAACCCAACTTCTAAGCAACACATCTTTCAGAATCAAAGACAGCACTCAAAAATGTTAAATAAAACACAGACATTGAACAGAAAAAAATGTATTTCTGGTGACTAAGATTCTTAAGCAGATTTTATTTATGCACAAGAGTTTTACCCTACACATGAAAAAATAAAAACACAGGCAAGGTATATTATAATTTTAGCTCTAATACCTTGAGAGCATTATGCTTTGTCTGTAACAGCTGCTGTTTTATCTTTATTTCCTCTCGCTTTCTCTCATCTGTGATTCTTTGTTGTAAGTTGTCTCCTCTTTGCAACAATTCTTTTACAGTACCCTCATTGTCTTCACTCTGATTAAAAACAACAAGTACAGTCTTCATTTTGGTTTTAAGAAAGCTGTACATCGTTAACAGAGATAATAAAACATGTTATTTAAACACACAAAAAATCCAATTTAAAACTTTCAGTATCCTAAGATACTGCACTCACAGTTTTTCTTTTATATGTTGTACTTTAACTTTTAAAAGAAGTAAGTTTCCTCCTGCCTAGTTCAAAATGACACATGTGATTAGTCATATGTAGGAAGATGGGGGAATAAGGTACTTTAACATTTCAGACAAGTGAACTGCTATGAAAGCATTCTTTTGGCTTTGATTTTTAGTGCATTTCTAGAAATTAAAAAAGTTGAGAGAAGCAAACTAAACTTGTCATTTATAATGCTAATTCACAGAGGAATACAGATGTTGCCGTGTGAGTGTGAGATGACAACAAAGCTTAAACATTTTAACACACACTCCTAAGTGAAAATACGTTATTTTAAATGGACACTGATTTCTATCTAATGACCTCTGCTTTAAATAACCTAAATGCCCAAATTTAGAATATTAGGGCATTAGTAAAAAATGATGTGCTCAATTGTTGCCAAATACTGCAGTTAATTAATTTCTAAAAAATATGTCATATATGCATGTTATTTTTAAATAAACACAATTAAGTATTAAAATATGGATTAGAAAAATGACTTTAAGCATTTTCAATATGCATTTTGGTTTTTAGACTCTAAGAATATTATTTTTATTTACTTTGAAATAAAATTATTTGAATAAGTGTTAGTTTAATAGAGTAGCATATGTGACCATGTGATTTTTCACCTCTATTTTCCTACCTTTCTTTCAATTCAATATGTGAAAACTTTCTATCAAGGGGGTTCACTTTGCTATGGTACCCAAGGTACTCTGATGAACTAAGAATAACAAATATTAGACAATTTTTAAAAATTCACATGTATGTGTGTGAATAATCATCCATGGTATTCAATGTTACATATTTAATTCTGTAATGCATATGTAAACTTCTACACACAACTGAGGAATTATTCATTTTTTTAGAGGAAATGGGATTTTCATCTGAGATTTGCCAGCTAACTAGTCTAATGAAATAATATAACATAGACATTTATGTTTATAGTCTGTGAAAGACCTTACTTTTTAAAAAAAATGTCTTTAAAAAGTCTGCAACATTTCCTGGGGCTGAGGACAAAAATAATAAACAAACAAAAGCTCCCACTTCATTTCTTTCCCCACACCAGCTGAGAGCTAGAGAGCAGAGTTGGTGAACAGCCCAAGAGGTAAGTAGCACTCTTTTCCACCTCGGTGCCCTCTGGTTTCTTCTTTGACATGAAGGAGAGGTAGCAGTAACTCAGCATCTTGGAAAGGCTCTTCTTGTCTTTCTTTCCAGGAGCTGAGTTGGCAAGGCCACCAAACCCCATACACGGGGAGTACTGATTTAGGCAGCTCCAGGAAGTCAGAATTGATACCAATGAGAACTAAGATTGGTTCTCCTACTGCTTCACATGCCTATTATTTACAATTTATAATTTGCCTTTTGATATCATTTTCAAGCACTGTCTGAGAAGTTGCTAGCATTGATACATGTCTGAGAAATCTCTAGCACGATATACGCAAAGATTAAGAATGCCATATAGGTGATGGCTGTGAGAAGGGAAAGGAAACTGTGAGAATGGGGTGGAGGGAGAAAAAAAAGTCAGTGAAAAGGGATGTGATGCAGAAATATTCAAGCTAGAGAGAAATGTAAAAGACATGTTGAAATTAATCAGGGTTTAAGGAGAAAGTTATGAGTCTGGGAATAGCCCACATGGTTATATATTTTTTATTCCCATGAAATAAGCAGCATGAATTTATACATATTTTAGATATATACTACACTACTTGTTAAACTTTTTTATAAAACCACCTTGTGGTAAGCTTTAATAAACAATGTTTATATCATGTGTAATTGCCCCTTCTCCAAAATAAATGCTATACTACCAAAAATGGGACTGACACAAAATATCAGTCATCTATGATGGTTGTGTTTTTTATTAAGTTTCTAGTTTATTTTTGGATTTGACTCTTTTCATCCATTACATTTTGTCCTTTGAGCACAGGTCAAAGTAAAATTGCTGGGCTATTTATTAGAATCTGTAAGTGCTCCTGTATGTCCATACCATAGTAATTTGGCATTCATAATGACAGTTCAACAAGAATACTTTGCTCTTGTAATAAATCATTAGAATCACAAAATGTGCAAGGTACGCTCTGAGCATTTAGTTGGAGACTTGCGTTATCTAATTTCTTTCCAAATATTTATTCATTTTCATTCCTAGTTCATTCACAATTTTATCACAACCAATTTACCATATCTTTATTGAAGTCTTCCTCTTTCAGATTCACCCCCTGCTGAATTTCAGCCTCCAGTGGTTCAAGCAATTTTTGTATATCTGAGTTAAACTGCTCCAATTCCTTGAAAGGAATGGAGGCCTAAAAAAAAAGATAGTGCTAATTTAAATCAAAATTACTTTTTATTAGACATATAAGACAAAAAACACATTTGTTCAACCTCTTGTTGCTAAAATAATGACATGCATTATGTTTCCATATTATATTTTATGAAAGTGTTGAAATACAACTGGGAAAGTACCTAGGGATGCAAATAAAGACATTTAACATCATCAGAGCCAAACATACATACAAGAAAATGCAATTCATCATTCTGGTTTTTCAACAAAATTCAATTTCCATATATTTGGCTGGTCTAACTGTTAATATCCTAAAGTTGAATTTGATCTTATTTTAAATATTCTGATATAAATACCATTTGGGTAAATATCTCTTATCAGAAATTGCCTCATTCATCAAATAATAGTAACATCAGTTGGAAATGCAGAATTATCTCCTTATCCTCAGAAAAACTACACTGCAATCTGCTTAGATATTTTAAATGACATTTTCAGCATGGCAGAATTGACAGGCATGCTCCCATAAGACAAAAAAATGTCATTAGTTTGCCTTAGGCGTCCTTTATTTGGTAGCACAAAAAAATGCAAAAGAATGAACCCTGGGTATCTCAAATGAAAAATCTGAATATATGTTTTCCAAACTTATAAACATCACAGTTTCTTTGATTTTGAAATTCATAATGACCATAGTCTCAAAAAACTTTAAAATCCCTTGTTTTTCTAAAGAAACCACTCGAAGAGGAGTGACTAATGAAAATACATTGAAAATCAAATATATATTCAAAAGAATAAGCAAGATTTAAAGTTTAAACAGTTAATAACATAAATGTTTATTCTATTATCTATACCCTGTATTCAATTTTTTTGCATTAAAACACTAGAAAATACTTTATATCTGACAGCTTTTGAAAACTCACACGTGATAAATAGAAATCTTATTTTCTCACAGAGCTAAACATTTTCCACTTGTAAAACCAATTCAGGAACCACCCACTGTCTTAATGCCAGAATGACACATTCATCAAGTTTGGTCCCCACCCACTCTTCCCCAACACATTCCTAGTCATAGTCTTACTCTTTATTAGACAGCATCTCCTAGAGGACAATAGGGATAAGTGTCAAGGAAAAACCAAATATCTAAAGGTATTTAGTTACTAATGAAGAAGTGAACCATCAACTGCTATCCGTGAGAACATAATTTTCACAGGAAGAAACATGAATAAACATTTATCTTCTAGGTACTTTTACACAAGAAACATGAATAAATACTTATCTTCTGGGTACTTCTACACATGCCAGAAAGGATTTATAGACTCTTTTTAAAGGGACTTATTTTCAATACTAGTTTTTAAATCCTAATGAACATTTAAAATTTGAAATATCATAATACGTTCTTGAACCAGTACAGATTGCTAGTATTATAGATATGCACGTAAATGTTGTTTCAATCTCTGTATTATTAACGTACTTCTATACTTTAAAACCATATATTGTACAATATAAGAGTAACAGCCTTTAGAATCATAATTATACAATATTAATTCGATGGTATTTATGTTACTGAATTGTTGTGCACATTTCCTAACATTTAATAAGAGCAACTGAATTGTTCTATATGATTTTGTGAACATATGAAGATAAATAATATTTAAAATAACTTTTTGAGTACTTGGAGGTCAAAATAACACGGGTCCATTTGAAGGCACATTTATCTGTTTTACTCCTACACTTGCTTCCTCTCTAGCTCATCCTTCCTCCACATACTCAAATATAGTAGTTTCAAAGGCTCAAACGTGGGGATCCGTACCTCTCTCTCAATACTCCTTCCCTAATAAATTGTACTATCTCCCAAAACTTAACTATAACTTTTATAATATCTGTCAAATATTCCTCTTTAGCTGTGACCTCACTTTTGAATTCCAATCTAGACTCTCAGTAGCCACCTGATTTCTCACTTGAAGTTCAGCATGTCTAGAAATGAGCTTATTATCTTCCCGCAAACTGCTTGCAACATCAACTTTGCTAGTTCTGTTAATACAAGACCATTTTTTTCTGAGTCATCCATGCTTAAAACATGAGTCGTGCTATTTTCCAGCACTTCACTCTAATGTCTAATAAATACCAAATACTTGCCAATTCATTCACCATGATTCACTTGCTTTCCTTTCCCAGAGATACCATTTCTCCTAGTCCTCACACAAGAGCTAAGGCAATAACCTCCTTACAGGGCTATAATCCTTCCCACCTCACCAGTTCTATCCTGTGCATTGTAGTCAGGTCAGTATATTCCAAAACCATGGCTTTCATTATGTTATTTCTCTGCTCAAGAAGTACAAGTCAAAGAAGGTCCAAACTCCAGCATGATAGTCAAGGCTTCCCCTAATCTTGTCCCAAGGACCTTTCTAGCCTAATTTAAGTGGTCCTAATACAATCTTTCTTACAGGTCTATTGGTAAACTCCTGGTATCTCTCCCTCAAGGCTTAGAATGTTTTTAACCTTCTGGTGAAGAGCCTAAAACTCCTGCATGAGAATGCCTAGATTGAATCTGGGCTCCACCATTTACCAGCTGAGGGATCTTGGGCAAGTTATTTCTCCTCTTTGAGCCTCAGTTTCTTCATGTGTAACATGAGGATAAGAAAAATATCTACCTCATAGAGCTTTTATGAGGATCAAGTATGTTAGAATGTTGTTTGGTATATAATAAATGCTCAATAAATATTGGTCTTATTATTTCCCCTCAAATTTGTACCCATCCATTGGCTCAGGTCAAGACCTTCCTCTTTTGAAAACATATGGTTTACGAAGGATAAAATAAATGCTTGTTGACACGGCATTTTTATTTTAACAACTTATTTGACAAAATCATGAAATTCTAATGGCGAACATGGAGAAATTGACACTCCAGTTTGGTAAAGCTGTATCATTCTTTAACAACAAAACTTAATTAATTAATCTGCATCAATGTAGAGAGTGGTCCCAAGGAGGATGACAAAGGGCTTTGCACTTGTTCTGCCCTGTGCAGTATTTTCATCAGCAATTATTTGGAGACCAAAAACTATGCAAAAACACACACATTGAGAGGGATGAGTTTCATGAACATCCAATGAAGATGAGTAATTTGCCTGTCTGGTTCAACCTAGAGTCATTCCTGGTACATAGTAGGTACTCATAAATGAACATTTCCTGAAAAACTAACTGAATACATGACTAATCATAGAACAGCAGAATAAATATTTCAAGGAAATCTTGAATGATCTGGAATTTCAAATAACACAATTTCCTCTGTATAAAATTGAAGAGACTGAAAAATAAATAAATAAATAAAATTGAAGAGACTGGAGTAATCAGCACTTCATGTGTGGATATATATTAATTGCTGGCCAAATGTTAGCAACAACATGATACCACTAGGTACAAAAATAATATAAGCAGATATGAATAGATTTTAGGAAACACTAGTACAAAGTGATGAGTTATTCAAGCAAGATAATGCAAACTTAGATTTCATTAGTAGTATGTGTAGTGTCCAGATTTCCTGATCAAAGACTACTATGCATTTGTTAAAAAATAAGACCATTATGCAGATTAGGGATTTTAATTATTCTGTGTGGTTCCAAAGTGAATAACTAGAGTCAATGGGGAGAAATTACTTGGAGTCTGAATTTTAGTTTAATATAGGAACAACTAATTAGTGTTGCAAATTTTTTTTTCTTTTTAAAGCACAAAATTTTAAAGTAGTGAGTTTCTCATTGCTGAAAGTACATAAGCACAGGTAGGATGATGATGTATTAGCGTATACATTAAATAAGACAGTTTTTGCATGAATACGTCCCTAAAATTTTATCAATTTACAGTAAATTCTCTCCTCTGAATTCAAAGGGCTTTGTTTACTGTAGCTATGCAGCTATATAGAAATGTTATGCAAGTCATATATGTAATTTTCAATGTTCTACTTGCCATACTAAAAAGTAAAAATAATCAGATGGATTTAATATTTTTTCTCAAATATGTCCAAAATATTATTATATAAACCTATAATCAACATAAAATTATTAATAAGATATTTTACTTTCATTTTTTCATATGAAGATTTCAAAACCCACTGTGTTTTACACTTACGGCACATCTTAATTTGGAGTAGCCACATTTCAAATATTCAATAGCCATATGTAGTCTGTGGCTACCTTATGGAACAGTACAGATCAATAGCAACTGCTATGACGACGACATTGAAAAGAATGAATAGTTCATTATTAGTATGAAATATGTCACAGGAGTAATGTCTTACTAATAGGAGTCAAAATGCTGATGCTTTATTTAGTAAATTTTAGTGCATTTAGGTAATTCTTATAATGTCCATCTCATTCACTTGCACCCAGATGTTTTCATAAAGGAATTTTCAGAAAGCCCTCTGGGGATAGGAAAATTTATGGGAATGGGTTTGAGATGTTGTATTGGGAGTCTCTATTCCTCATTTATGTAGAATCCTAGGTTGTGTTGCAGTATCTATTACATATTTGAATGTAATATTGTTTGACTTTCAAGGGCTTATATTTTGTCTCCCCAGTAGATTTTTAATCCCTGAAGCTGGGAATACATCTTATACTACTCTGTATTTTCCATAGCAAAAGGAACTCATCTTTTAAACATAAAACATGTTTATTATATCAATTACTAATTTTAGAACATCCAATAAATCAAATTAACCAGTAACTAATTTTATAACCAAAAATAACCACAACTATTCAACTCAGTTATTTAGGCTATTCTATTGGCAGGATCAGACCAGCCATCTGACATCCTTGTGATTAATATTCATAAAGGAGTTGGGAAATTTTAATTGCTTTTCCTTAAGAGTTCACTGGCTCACCATTAGGTCATGACTTTTCTGACCAATAAAAGTTTTACATGTCATTCTTTGGTCTTTGTTGTCTTTGTAATGCTTATGAAATTTTAAAAAAGAAATGAAAAGTAAGCAAACATCCATAATTTAATAGCTCACTCTTGAATCATCCAAGTTTA